AGCACATAGCAAAGCTAAGGCAATCCTCAGACAACTGAGCTTTGCTATGTGCATGAAACGCAGCGTTATAACAATGACCTAGCCGGCTGTCTCTGTTCTCTTCTGCCTTTGTGGTAATGCTCCATCCTTGTGGTGTTGATCACTCTAGGCAATCTGGGAACTCTCGACGTACATGTAGGTAACGTGACTAAGTCGTGTCATGTATAATACTAATAGACATGTACGATTATGACATAGTCTCGGTAAAGCCCCTAATGACCTTTCCACTACCATGGAGTTTAGGAACCGATAACATCATGCAGTCTGCACAAGATCCATCCGCCCGAGTGCAACATGATTGTACAATGTCAATGTATTTCCTAACCGATTATCCATCAAAAATATTTAGACTAGGACAAACGGCACGAGCAAGAACTACCAGGGCCATCTGTGCGGATTGAATAATGTCGCACTGGCTAGATCTATCATCTAGTATTATTCTACAGGGTTATGGGTTATCGATTAAAAATTTGTCTTTCATTTGAGTAACTTCAACCCACATTGCCATTGGAACCAAGATTGGCAAGAACAACCATGCCTGGATTCCCATTCATTTCTACATGGACGAAGCCAATGCCATGCCCTAAATCATGAATCTACGCCTTCATGTTTCTGACTGTGTATGCATTCTGTCGACATGCCCTTGATTTAATCGCCCATGCTGTATCAAGTCTGTCGCAGCGCGGTCGTCCACCGGGGGGGGGGGGGGGGGGGGGGAGGGTACCCTGTCCATCGATGAAACGAGGTTTAGGGCACGTGGAAACAGATATGATGTAGATCTGTACTGTACCTGCAATGATCATGACTTGTGCGGTCCTGTGCTGGCTGGTTTCTGACACAACACTGTCACAACCCGTCACAACCCGTCACAACCCGTCACATCCCTGCAGGACCGGAGTGGAACTAGGTGGCATTCTTTACGGAGTGGTTCTCACCAGCCGGTTCACTAGAATCTAGAAGACATTTGAGTCGATTTGTATGACTGACTGACTGACTGACTGCCTGACTGGACGATGGCTTTCACGTGAATGTCGTTCTTGCCGTACAGCATGCTAGCACCGCAATGAAACGCGTCAATGACTGAAAAAGGTTTCTCTTGGGAACTACATCATTGTAATGTATTAAAGGTCGTTGTCTGTGCACAAATGAATTCCAGTCTTCAGGTCATCCCTTCAGGCACATCTAGCGTTTTCCCGTGGGGATAAGTCAAGATATGGATGCCTGCACTAGGGGGTCCGACGGTGATAGAACTTAGAACTTCGGCCTGGGTGCTCCAAAATGTCAGGTCCTCTCCATAGTGCAGCAGACACTCCATTAAATTTGTCTGCTCCCACGATGATCACTGAGTCTGCATATCTACTGTCTGGCTAGGCCTAGTTGTGGTAGATCTACTAGTGCTTAAATCTCTGGTAGTGTGGAGTGGAGGGTCTTCGCAAAAATGATACAGAACCTCAACAAATTCGGCGCAAATCCATATTGTTCAAATGAAGTCAATCAGACTTCGATTCATTCAGGTACGCCCTTCTTTCACAATCTAACAAGCAGCCATAACGGTAAACTAACTTCTCTGGATTCAACAGAGTCAACAGACAAACAATAGAATGATGGGAGAATGCAGATTGCTGGCACCGTCCCAGTTCTTTCCTGGAATGCTGGATCATGGACAACGTTCATACGATTCCGTCACCACGTTCTAGATCAATAACATCGCTGAACCGTGCACGGGTCGGTGCAGTTTTTGAAGTACAGCAGACTTGCAGTCCGTTCTTGACACGCACCAACGGAAGAGTGGACTCGTGGTGCCACTGTCCACTCAACGGCGTCTCTGAACGCAGTTCTTGTATTGTTGTGCAAAGAGGACACAGACGAGAATGATTACGTCCAGCACTACAAGATGATTTTCCGTGTACTGTTGTGACTTGTTTCGTGACTTACATGCAGCTAGTGTCACAGTACTGCAGTGGAATTTAGAAACAGTAGGAGCATGCAAAGCAGCCGGACCAGCGTGCTCAGAATGAAGTGAGGAGTGTGCGACAGTGCTCACTCAGTACAAGACGCACCAAAGAACACCCTGGCCCGAGTAGGGGCAGTAGGAAGCAGGAGAGGGAACAGACACACAACTAACTTCACAAGCGACACTGCCAGACTCACGTCACAAAGGGAATTCCGGACCACTGCACTTCACACAGGTAACAGAGGTAACGGGTGACAAGGCACCTGATCCCTACTTGAGCCACAGTTGAGGTGTTGTTCCATGACCCCCAGGCCAAGTATCCAACACTCTTCACATAAAATCTCGTTACTGCTCATCAAGAGCACCATACATAACGCACCACAATGGATATGGGGCTCATAGTTGATAACCGATCCGTCACAAACTCACATAACCAGGCATGATGACAAGTGGCTCTTTTGACCGTGGTGCTGATCTACATAACATGCCCACACTGAAACAGTCGACTCTAGTGAGCCTCTAGCTCTCTGGTAACATACTGTACAACTACCACTCAGCGAGACCTTTGCTACTAAACAGCAGAATCCCAATCTCAACGGTAAGTTCAAGGGCTTGAATAGGTCCCCAGGGTAGTTCACAGGCGTGCAGAGCGTTCCCCAAATATTTGTGCGATGCACGCTCGTAAACTCTCTCGCTTCTCATGGCCATTCCGACCAGTCGAAAAACAACACCGGATACAGTATCCCTGTACAAAGTCAGTTTACCACGAGATATACTGCTAAACAATCATGTTATTTTAGCTGTACTAAAATGCATGTCGGTGCCAGGGGCCTGACAGGTTTCAGGTGTAATGTCATTCGCTGGCTCAACTACAATATTGTCACCTGGATACTAAACCGCAGGTTTGGATCTTTAGACTATCATCAAACAGAAATGACATGGATCTTCTACACGTGGCTTTTTCTTGTGGTAAATATCATCCATCACCATGCACCATGAATACAAGTATGGACTATTTAGTAGATATGGGCAGGCTGAAGTGTGGCTGGTGGGAAGTCATTCTGTCTTCAGCAGGAGATTACAATTCACCTGATATTTGAACACCCTACCCAAGCAGCACCCAGGAAACCACTGTCAAGCTGCATGATTGCATTATGTACACCGTGGTTAGGTACATGTAGCTATATATTGTAGGTATCAATCTGGAACCTAGTCCTCTGAGGGGGAGGGGGGTCCACCCTGGAGGCAAGACCGGGCATTCTACCCTGGAAATTGGAAACTGATAAAAATCCTGCACAGCACTGATCTGAATATGCGTAGGATTTGATGAACCTGAAAATTCCCTGTCTACGCTGCAAATTGGTTAAAGCTAGAAGTGAATGTATGTCCCTTGGAGGTTCATACATATATTGTAGGAACATGGGTATGATTTGTACATAGCGTTAATACGGCAAGGAAAGCTACACACTCTTGACTTTCTTCAGTCTCTGAGGGGGACATCAGGACAGGCACCAATGACAGTAGTGTACTTGAATATTATGACTTCTCACTGTTTCCATGAAACAACTGCAAGATTCATTGTACAGTGTCAGTGAATGCCATCCGCATTTAGTTAAGTTTTGTCCAGTTTGTGACATGATAAATACAGCTGGCAAGATATCCCAGGATCGCAGAAGTATATGGTTCATAACATTTCGTAGGTACCCTTGAGTGGAGCAGTTCAGTCACTCTCCAAGTCCCCTCTTCATGACCTGAATGACTTTTTTTAATGTACTCGTAAAGTAAATCATGGCCCAGCAAGCTCATCACACCCATCCTTCACTGCCAAGTAACCTTAGTTACTAGTAGTTGCAATCCCACTTGCTGCCTGTTCCAACAGCTACTGCCACTACTAGTACTACACCCTGGCCTAATCTCAATACAATGATAGTATGCTACCAAGGGTATGCAGCCATTGCTGTTTGCTGCATTCCTGTGGGCCCCTTGCCAGCAACATAACTGCAACTGCAAGTCATATGAGAATAGGGCATGGTGCATCTATCCTATCTCTAGTTGGAGAGAGTGTGAACTCAATGTAACTATCTGGGCATCTGATAGAAGACGTTGTATTGGCACCTCATAATGCAAAGATGTATTCTCAGGGCAGCAGGCTCAGCTAAAGCGATGACCAGGGCACATGGTTTACAGAGCGTCTGATATGATGACCAACGACGTTACGTATCCCTTGGAACTCACTGCCTGAAGCTCGCGTTTGGCGGACAGATGAAAAAGCGTAAAGGCTTCAAACCTCCGGAGCTGCTGTCAGCGCTCACTTTCCGTAAAACCGTCGCCCCTGGCAAACTACTGTGGGAATATAATATTTAGACAATACATGTACGACCATGTTCTACAGCAGGTCTGTCAACGTTGAACTCAGGGAGCGTAGTTTCTGGAGAGCTGCTTTGCCAAGAATGTGACTTCCTTATTGCCCTGTGTGACAGCTCTTCAACTGCTCAGGCCAACGAGTATACAGTAGTATACTATGTAATCTACTAGCTGCTTCAACCACTTGGGGATAATTAGCCAGCCACACATCAGGGTGCCAAAAGCGAAATAATCTGATTGCTCTCTCTCAATTTGTCATGCTGATCCACAAAAGCAGCATATTGTGAATAGCCTGAGCGCATTAATACCTCACCAAGTCTTACCAACCAGAGGGTGCACAATGCAGGAATCCTCTTCTGTGTCAAGCGGATCATGACACTTTATTAGTGCGGTAATACTACTACTACTGAGGTTGAATTTTCTACCCAAATGCCATGTGGGCCTTTGTCTCTCTTTCAACTTCGGCTACTATTTCGAGCTTGAATTACACCGTCTTGTTCAGCATTGTGGAGTGTTGAAACCGGAGTTTTGAGTTTTGCCGGCCCTGCCAACCCACGAAGGTCCATATACGGATTTGTAAGTTTCATGGAGATCACTCATCCAGTGTAGTTTATAGCAAGGACTTCGGTATGTCAAGACTTACCGGTGACTGGCTCTGCTTCACCTGCTGCATCTCCATTAGCATGCTGTTCCTCTGCGTCTCCGTTCTGTCCTGTGGCTGCATCTCCATTGGCATGCTCCTCTCCTCCATCACCTATTAGGTAGCAAAGTGAAGAATGCCATTGATACACACTTCCAACGAATACCAAGAGAGAACAATACACTGGAACTGAAGAGAATGACAGCCACAAGCATTCAGTGGGCTTGCATGGACCACTGGATCAGTTGTATATCATGATATACCCGTAGTAGACCATGTTTTGAGAATAACTGCAGATGATAACAAGGCGGAGGGCACACTGTCTCTGTTGAGAACAGTGTACCTGCGTGACTACAACCATCATCAACCTCGGACCTTTACCATTGGAATCAGTGCATTTTTCGCTACAAGTTGTGAAGTTTTCATTTTAGGGTGAACTTCCCCTTTGTCCGTAGATAGATCATTACCATTTGCAACCGCTGGTGCTGCCTCTGCTGCTGGCTGCTCCTGTCCTCCCTTGATCAGCTCGATCACATCACCTGCGTCCTGAACGCCGGCATCTCCAGCCTGGGGCTGCTCCGCAACGGGCTGTACAGTGTGGGTAGGAGAAGGGACACACGCAAACATACACACATTCACAGTATGTACTGTTGGCATACAATGTACATGTAACAGAGCTCGAGTAACCACGGGAGAAGACGCATACTAGTAATATTAGTTGCATCAGACATATAAACAGACAAACACATAGACAGACAGAAAGACAGCCAGCCAGACAGACAGACAGCCTACAGACAGCCAGCCAGCCAGCCAGACAGACAGACAGACAGACAGACAGACAGACAGACAGACAGACAGACAGAACGACAGAACGACAGACATGCACACGCATACACACAGATGGAGAGAGGCGGAGCGAGGCGGAGAGAAATGGAAAGAGAAAGAGGATCGGGGAGGAGCCGTAATTTCGCTTACTATACTACTCTCTAGTATACTGGAGTACATAACCGGGCACACTACAGTAGTAGTACGTTTCAGGGGTCATTGCTACTACAATACTAATAGTAAACACGTTTGTCAAGGGTCCTTCTCCTGCAAAGCGGCTACAAGTGGAGTCTATCAATCCTGGACAGATATCTTGGCTCAGTAAGTAGTGCACTGTACCATCACCAGTACAGCGTCTCTGCCAAAGAAAGTAAAAACTGCTGCAGTCTCCATGTCGCCCTCTGGCAACCCCACAGTTGGATGTGTCAAATTCGCCGCTTCTGCGCCCGCCCCTTTCACAGTGCCCACTGCACTGGCAGTCTGAGGTCACTGCTGCATGCTGCCAGCAGTCGAAAGTAGTCATTGGCTAGTGGTTGGTTGGATGATCAAGTCAGAGCTCTTGAGTGTGCAAGCTGCCATGTGGTGCATGGTGCGTAGTGGTCATGGCTGGTCATAGGCCTTTGCGGATAATGATAACAAAAAATTGCAGACTCTACTCGAAAAGAATTTTCAGGACCAAACAAAGCTGTTGGCAGGCGAGTCCTAGAATTCTGCTCCTCTCCATAGACTCATCTACACTGTATGTACTCCTATATATTCACACTCTTCAGATCTTCCATGTGCCCATCATGCATGAGACACAAGAGCAAGAAAACCTGTCAGATAATTATTAATTTATTATAAGTGTTTCCGCATTTGTGATTGATCTCCCGTTCATTGATAAAATTATAAGTGTTCCAATGATTTAGAATCGTTCACTTCTGTGGAACACGGCTCAATCTGACAGCGCAAGGTAGAAGATATGGATGTGTGACTGCGTGTCGCCAGACAACAAACAGATCAAAAGTGCGATTGTTTTCCACCATTATCGCTAGGCATAGTTCTTCTTGTGCTGACTGTACAAAGTATTAAATAGGGGCTTCAGAGTTCCATGCATGTTTTTGTGCCACGGTGCACGGTATCAACGTTTGTAGATGGACAGTCGTTACAGCTAGCTAGGCACAGTACAACTACATGTAGTGTATGTACCTGATGTACATGGACATGTAGAAGTGCCCGAGCGTCGTTTGTTGTGTCACCCAAAACAAGCACTCCAAAAGAGATGTCAACATCACCAAACATACAATGATACATGACGAGTACATCATTGTGCTCTGGCGATTATGAGAGCTCAGAGGGAGAATCCACAGCACCATGACCCAGCTAGCTGTAGTAGGTTTTGTAAATATGTAGACCAGGAAAGACTTTCGCCGGAGAACATCATGCATGTACCTGACAATCATTGCATTGTGTAAAGTAACAGTTACTCAGTAGTTGCAATCATTGTTCATGGGAAACAGTTCACAACATTCAGGCCTGTACGTGTATGCGTTCTTTTCCCTACCATTTTATAACAGCTTGACCAGTGAGTTCATTGACAGACTTCAAAGTAACCAGTGAGTTCAAACTGCCCTTGCACATGTAGTCTGTGGTAGATGCTCGTAACTGCCTAACACCTCAGAACATAACGAGCTCAAGATCTCATAATAATTAGTCATATCAAGCCTGAATGACAAAACACATGATAGAGAGCAGACTTCCGGTCAAAACTGCGTTTCGTGTAGATACGCGGCAAGCGTGAACAGAGTACAATGCAGGATTAGGTCCAGAGTGGATAGCCTTCCCCGGCAGTGGTGATAACGGCCACCCCAGCCCAGGCCAGGCGAGAGACACAACCATGGAGTCGTTGCCAGCTACCAGAAGCCCGATAGCCATCAACCATCTGTGCCACATTCCGCTATTCGCAGGCCACAAACCTCAGGAAATATGCGAATCCCCAAACGCACACGATATCGATTGACCAACGTACAACCCCACAGCCCAACAGTCCGACTCCCAGCATGTCACCACGCTGCGTGCGACAGGTAGCACGGATCTTCTCGGAATGCAACTGTTTCAGTACGCTTCGCCTAACGCTTTCGCAAATGACCTCCCTCAGCATACCATTGCACTAAACGGCCTATTGATTTGATAGAGGAGATAGCGACTATGGAATGCGACATCACGATGATTATAATTATTGCCGGGCATCTTCATTTTCCCACCGAATGTGTAGCGTTCCTATCTACTCCTGACACTGCAGAGAATACTACTAATACTAGTACAATGCACTCTACGCCGGTCAGTGCCGCGGACACTACCCTTGATCAGTGGAGGTCTACAGTCTACAGTGTGCAAATGGCTATTGACTATTCTACTGCCGAGATTGGACGGAACAACGCACCCATTTTCCGGACAGCAAGACTAGATAAGAACTATTGCATGGCAGCAGCGCCAGCCACACCGTGGCTAGCGCTCGTGTCTCCTGGACATTCCGAAGAGCATTTTCATGTAGATCAGAAGTCGTGTCGATAATGGACTGTCATCATCAGTGCCAGTGGTGTACTTCTACTCCATCGGATAGGACTCTAGTTTACCGTCACATAGTTCTGGAAGGAGTAACATAACTTCGTTGCACTACTACCCACAGTCAATCCGATTCACCAGCCGCATACCATGGCCTCAACCATGCCACTTTGGAGAGTACTTGTAAGAAAAGGCCCCTTGCATTCTTGCATTCCAGCAGGGCTAGAGAGGCACTTGAAGCTAAGTCACAGTAAGTGATTCGCTCCATTGCCCTTCGTCAATTATTTGACCGGTTCAGGGTGGCTGATCAGCCCGAAGTCTGCAGGAAGGTTTCACCTGCACAGATAGGAGGCCTTCAGCAAGAAAGAGACTCAGAGACTTGCGTACAATCATGTTTCTCTACTGTCTGTAGTCGTGTCTGTACTGCAGTGCAGTAAATCCCTGCAAAGCTTTTACAGTCTCTCCAACGACAGTGGTTCTAACTTCTATGTTCAACAGAATACGAGCCGTATTCTGCTGCCTGTCTCTTTGAGTGAGTACGTTTTTAGGCTGCGAGTGCATCCCCACAGCAGAAAGGCAAACACTGCCACTACCAATAGCACCATTCACCAGGCGTCATATCCGGCGCCGTTCAACCACAAGGCATTTCCAATCTGATTTATAAAGCCGCCATGTACATGTAAAATTTGACCTTGTACTTCTCAGGCCAAAGCCAGGAAAGCCTCCGAAGTCCGAGCCAGGACTAGACCAACTGCCAACTCACTGACATGTTGAGAAAGGGGCTGGGAAAGCTTCGAACACAGACACTTCGTGTTAAAGAGTCGGACATGACGAGGCCGAGGGATAGTCAAAAATGCGCGGAGCAAGTCCGCCAGGGTTACACGATCACCAATTTTCGCGCCTCTGGTTACCCTGACAGCTAGTTAGAGAAAGAAGACAAGGCATCGGGTATGTAGCAAAGATCCTTGATCGATTCAAACAAAATCCCACTTGTCCTACACTGGAAAATCCACTAGTGGATCTACTACGCTACACTACAAAGACCCCGGCCCCGTGCCAGGGTCAGTCGATCGATCAGTCGATCGAAGGAAAAAAATAGGTTCGCTGGAGCGTTTTCAAGTGTGACAGGCATTCGCCGCTTTAGCTCAGCGTGACAGGCTGATAAGAAAACACGGAGAGTAACGCGGTGTAGAGTTTCTCTGGCAACCTTCTGACAACATCACGAAACGCCAAAGGTGATCCCGTCACTCAGCGTGTCAATCCCCCGTCGTCAAAACAAGATGGAGAACAAAGTTTAACGCGCGGTACAGGGCCAACATGAGAATCATTTTACCACTGCAGCCTCACGCACGTACCGAGTGCCGGAAGAGACCGAAACTGCTCACACTCACGCTACTACAGTACTAGTACGTCCAGGACCAACTTTAGTGCTTCCCAAAATCTGGCACAACCTGGAGCTCAATTATCATGTAAATGTTTCAAGGTCTCCAACGGAGGTTCAACATCACGGCCGATCGTCGTGTTTTCTACAGCAACCGGGCGATGACGCGACAAGGAACATTACTTTCGAAGACAAGGTCTAGCCTAGAATGATGTGTGTAAAATGATAATATTGCCGGTGGTGATAGCTGGTGCTTCCTGACCAGTTCAGTCTAAACCCATGCTGGACAAATTGTAGTTCAAGATGTCCACCCTTATCTACACGACCATGATGAGTAGTACAGCGTCAGGAGATCACGGCGTTCGGTTCGGTTGCGTCGGAGACCCTGCACAGGTGCGCGTGGAGTACAGTCAACTTCGCTTATAACGACACTCGGCGGGGCATCAGAAAAGTGCCCTTATTCACGAAGTGTCGTTATATCCGAAGTCTCATTGTATGTGTCACAGTTGGATGGTACTTTGCTCTGGGCATGAAAATTATGTCGTTATTCGCGAATTGTCGTTATATCCGAAGTCGTTATTGGCGAAGTTGACTGTATGGGAAAGTCATGATAGCATACGGCACACAATTATGACCCTTGGCTCCCTCTCTACGGTATCACTTCACCTCACTTCAGGGCCAATTACAGGCCTGCATCCAGTGCAGGACACGACTGTAGCTCTGCTCGTGAAGCCTGAAGGTCAGAGACTGAGAGAGATCCACATCACCAGGACATGTATGAGACTGAGAGAGATCCACATCACCAGGACATGTATGTGTATCCGTAGATGGAGCTTGTGAACAACTCGTACTCATCGACTACAGCAATGATCTGTTTGTTTCGGCATACGAGCTGTCTTCAACAGCTCGGCGCGCTATCAAAAGATATCAAGTGAAGAAACGTTCACGAATCGTGCATGCGTGTCTGACAGTGCATGTGAAAAGGTCGTAACTGACGAGGCGCAACACGCTCCATGCAGAGGAGAAAGTTCCAAGCAAACACAGAGGGAGACATTAGCCGACCTCTATCCCGAAGTAAAAGGAGCAAACATGTCTCTACTCCAGCCAGGCTCAGTACAGCATGAACGCACATTTAAAACTATGGAAGGCATAATGAAGTCTAGCGCTCAAGGGGATGAAGCGAGGGAGGTATTTGCTCAGGAATGCTCACGCCTGCTGCAGCCTGCAGTGCATAACTTCGGCGGAGATTGCAATCCTTGTATCCAGCCTGAGCGGAACGGTCGAGCGCTCCCTGACCTGCTCTAGCCAGTTACCAACTGGCACCTGTACGCGGAGGCGGCAGTGTCCTAAATAACACACTATTTCCAGCATCAGACTGATATATATTATCTTCGTCACACGCAAACGCGCGCAAATACGCACACCCACTACCAAAGGCAAAAGCATTTTTCCCATTAAAATCCGAGAGAAACGTCTACCATCGCCGTCATTGAACACACAATACCCACGATAGATGCTTTGTCCAGCTCCAACTCATACTGGAGCTCCACATCTCGTTCTAAAATCATGTACTACAGGAGTAGAAACATACACAAATTGAGTCTTCGTGTGCAAGCAATGGACCTTTTTCCGCTGATGATGTAGGTACGAATCAGCCAGCGTTCACATACAAGAATGGCATTATGATACCCAGTAGGTGGAGAATGATCAGGCGACGCGCAAAACGGGTAAAACCGGGGACCCTTTCACTAATAACATAGCGCAGACAGTGACAGTCTGCACAGTTTCAGAGCATGGGGTTCCTTACCTCCGGGGCGGGCATGGCTCACGAAAACAACTTCGTCCTTGTAGTGGTAGAGAAAGAGAGTGAGAGACACGCTCAGCAAGCGATCTGCTCCTCCGATCAAGGATCTCACGGGATCTGTAGGGTAAACCGTCGCACCTTCAACACGTTGCAACGGGAAGGGAAACTAACCGCAAGGGACTTCTTCCTGCTTACACTTGCAGTTGCTGTCGTCGCTACTACTGTCCACGCTGTGTGGAGTTGGATGAAGGACGGTGCGGCGATATCACGCTCTCGACAAAAGTGCCACACTTTCTCCTCTTGCTTGGCTGAAATGAACTGGACTGGATTGGAGAAGCGCGGTACACCTACTGGAGTACTGCCTCTGATCTGTCTGCTCTTCAACGGCATCTACTACCACATGCACACTCCACAGTATCAGCTAGGCCGGCCAGCTCTACCTGCTTCAAGCGTGCTCTCAAGTCAGAGGACTGCGATGCATGTACGCCAGGCAGTAGCTGCGAGTCCTGCATGCAATGCACGCCACTCTAAAAATGACTCTACTCTATCAGTATCATTCTAGTCTCTCGCCTAATATTATGTCCGTCTGCCGATCACGCTCACATCAGTCACACTCACAGTATCTTGTCACGGATCTTAGGCGCTAGGTTGCCAACACAACACACGCTATGGTCTACGGTATACGCTCTGCATGCAGCCATATGTAGCAGCAAATAAACCGTATGCTTTCTCGCTAGCTGGTCCAGAGTATTACTATTATGTATAGCCGTTGCCGGAATCAGCACCGTGTTTCGCTAGGAGAAGGGGTGCATACCTTCTTCCTTTGATTTTGTACACGACCCAGTGCTACCAGTACCGCCTCCTCAACCCACTACATTTTTTCTTCTTTTTTTTCTCTCTACAGCTGTACTATCACCTGATCTCTGCGCCGGATACCAACAGTGAACAGTGAACAGTAATGAGTTTGTCACTACCAGTACCAGTGTCAGTACCAGTGTCAGTGATCTTCGTCTTCGATCGTCATCATCGCCACCTATCGATCCACCGCCGGAGATTCTAGTGTGCGTTCACCTGTGCTAAAATTGGATACGTAATCTACCATGCATGTGCAATCGTGCAAGTCTTCATCTGGACCTTATTCATTGAGTTATTCCTTAGCCTAGGCTAGTTTAGCCTAACTTTAGGCTTTAGCCTCAGTTAGGATCTGTGATGCTAATACTCTACTACAGTAAGTACAAGGTCTACTTCATCATACTACATGGCATACCTGCCAAGTATCCAGATTTTTTCGGGATTATCCCGCAATTTTGGATGAACTCCCGCGATCACGAAATTCCTGTCGATTATCCCGAAATTCACTGTACAAGAAACAAGCTTGATTTTGTACTTGGAGCACTTCAAATGACTTGTCACAGGCCAGTCCTTACCGCCATATCCTGCAGTACCAGTGGATCTCCTAGTGCTCCTTCCATGAGCAGTCTCTGAAAAACCTCCGTTTTTGAGTCTTGAACATGTGTGAGTGTGATCCGATGATCACCACCAATCATCTATTATTAATTTTAATGTTGGTGCTATCAAAAGTTGAAAAAGGATTTTTTTGGTAAAAATATGACATATCCCGAAAACCCAAGGCAAATCCAGGGATTTTGCCATGGCGATCCAGAAAAAGCACTCTCAGTACTTGGCAGGTATGACATGGTCGTACGCACAAAAGGTCCCGTGGAATGTGTCTCTAACTCCCAGTTTCTTGATCATCAATCATCAGGAGACTGATTCTAAAAGAATGTTCATTGACATAATCATTGGACTCAGCTGAGTCAGCTCAGGCTATCCCATACTAGTACTAGTCTCATACTGAGAGAAAGTGATACCCCTTGACACCTGGTGGGGAAGTCATGAATACTATTGTTAAATGCATGTGTGATGTACATGTACAATCATCATCATCATCAGTCATGCAGTACTAAGTTACTAGTAGTAGTCAGCGACTCAGCGCGAGGCATAGTGCAAGCCAGGAAGGATCACCCTCTGAATCTGAGGACCATTTTCTAGTTTTCGAACATGATTGATGTACAAGATTGTATATTCATGGTGGCCAAAGCTTAGCTGCCCACTGTGCCCAGGCGCTATGCCTACTGCCTTGTTTCGTTGGTTATGCCAACGTATGCCAACCGTCTCCGTTCCGTACCGTGCAGGTACAGTACGTAACATGTAATGATTATGTCACAGACTTTGTGCATGGCTTCCGTTCTGTCAAGTGTCATGACGATACCAGTTAGAGTCAAGTGTTTCTGGTGCACTGCATTGATAAGGCCTTAAGGCCAGGGTCGTTACTGGCGCAACCTACTTCGAAGTAGACTTTACCCAGAGTAGCTCTAGTACTAGACTAACCTAACATAGTGCTATCTCTCTCTCCCTCTCTCTCTCTCTCTCTCTCTCTCTCTCTCTCTCTCTCTCTCTCTCTCTCTCTCTCTCTCTCTCTCTCTCTCTCCCTCTCTCTCTCTCTCTCTCTCTCTCTCTCTCTCTCTCTCTCTCTCTCTCTCTCTCTCTCTCTCTCTCTCTCTCTCTCTCTCTCTCTCTCTCTCTCTCTCTCTCTCTCTCTCTCTCTCTCTCTCTCTCTCTCTCTCTCTCTCTCTCTCTCTCTCTCTCTCTCTCTCTCTCTCTCTCTCTCTCTCTCTCTCTCTCTCTCTCTCTCTCTCTCTCTCTCTCTCTCTCTCTCTAGGCTCTCTCTCTCTCTCAGGCTCTCTCTCTCTCTCTCTCTCTCTCTCTCTCTCTCTCTCTCTCTCTCTCTCTCTCTCTCTCTCCTCTCTCTCTCTCTCTCCCTCTCTCTCTCCCTCTCTCTCTCTCTCTCTCTTTCTTTTTTTCTTTCTCTCTGTGAGTATGTTACTATTATACTGTCTTGGCCAATCGCAAAAGATGAGTTTCAGTTACATGTATACTAGGGCTGGGACTTTTCGTGGGAATCAGTGGGAGGAAGGAGAAGGCATGAACCGCCCGGGGCGGGAGTCTCACTGCCTTCTGCGCCTGGGCTCGACATGATTAGCGCGCGAGTAGCTTTATACACCCTCCGGGCTCCCAGCGCTGGCTCAGATCCAATCCAGAGTCGGAGTCGCAAAATATGTAATGATATAATGATAGATATTCTCTGATCAGAGCAAGTAGGGGGGGGGGGGGGAGCTTGATTTGTCTACTGCTGTGTAATACCGGTAAGTTACTTACTTGTACGACACTCTACTAGTATCACCAAGAGTACATGAAAACCATTTTTCATGTACGAGGTGATTTGGAGGTGATTTGGCTGTTTTAACGTGGTTGTAAAATGACGTTTTGTCAGCCACTTCTAGGCAAGCTACATGCACGTCCAAATGAAGTGTTGCAAGTGGAAGTGCTATCCTTCATGCCCGTTGTGTAAAAAAAATGGAAATGATCCCCCTTTGGAAAGTGTCTTGAATCATGCCCTACTTTCATAGTATTTTCAGCATTCCAAATTATTATAATTATTGGTGTGTCATTTTTTAACAAATTTGTAAAATGGCATCACAAACTGGGATATTCGGTCATCAATGTTCTGAAGTTGATAGTTATCACCTCAAGGATTGCTAGTGGATGAAAATTAATCTGTCAACTGCATTGTATGCTGCGAAAGCTGTGTTTTTGAATTTGTAACTAGTGGCTGTATCATACGGTGGAATTGGATACTAGTAGGTAGCATAGCATCGCAGCCATGTATTCGTTCTCACATACTAGTAGTGTATTCCGTGACCTACTGTTCTTCATTATTGTCTTTAGTGATGGCAAGACGGCCTGACCTCGTCCAAAGGCCCTCCGGAAGCTATTCACTGCCCTCCTCATCCATTCAGGGGCTTATTTTACACTTTTTACACAAAATGGCAAAGCACCCACGTACCACCGGCGTGGCAGGGAAAATTAAATTACATGCACCAAATGTTCTGGTCAATGGTAAACTGGCTCTCATTTGCCACCATGTACCACCCATGTAACTGTTTCGATACAGCCATCCGCGGAGCAGAGAAGCCGATGTGATAATCGACCGTGTTGGTCGGGCATGCCTAGCGCTAGCGCCTTATCATCAACAGAGTAGATCTACGACTCGTACTGACTGTGACTGTACTTTATAGTGCATGCTAGCGTACACGGTACAGCACTACATTAGCCTAGGGAGGTTTCGCTCTACGGAATTACGTATGAAAATAACGTATGAACTGCACGGAATTTTCATACGTAAAAATCAGAGCTGTTGGGCTTCGCTCTACGTGATTTCTCCACGACTGCCAAACATGCGTTGTTGCTTTGGAGACGCGTTGGCTGCATGCGCCCACCTGTTATACGCACACCCATATTTGGATCCCGACCCCGGTATGATTCCATTACCCCTAGCCCTGCATGCAGTAATTCGTACACATTCCATTACCCCCTACCCCTAGGCCCTACCCTTGCATGCAGTAATTCATACGCACTCCACTACCCCCTACCCCTACCCCTGCATGCTGTAGTTCATACGCACTCCATTACCCCCTACCCCTAGCCCTGCATGCAGTAATTCGTACACATTCCATTACCCCCTACCCCTGCATGCAGTAGTTCATACGCATTCCATTACCCCCTACCCCTGGCCCTGCATGCATTAGTTTGTACACACTTCATAACCATATTTGACCCATTATCCCCTACCCCTATCCCTAGCCTTGCATGCAGTAGTTCGTACGTACACACTTATAACCATATTTGACCCATTTCCCCGCTGCCCCTGCATGTTATAATAATTATTAATACCGTACACATTTGTAGCCCGTTTTCCCTCCTTCTGCCCCTGCACATAAAACCCACCGTACACTTGATCTAATTACATCCCTTTATAGTGTACATAGTCGGGCTATACACATAATAATGCGCGCCCAGCTAAAAGGGCGCGCTCATGCATTGTACCGTACATTCTATTCTAGTTCACTCTAAGATAACCAAACTTCGATAATCTAGTCAGAAGAAGAATCCACTCCCTAATGTTGATGTCGAATAATTCTGTCCTCGTCGTGAGATAATATATACTTTACCAACTCTCGTAAACTGGTCTCTCTGGTGTGTGAATAGACAACATTGTGAATTGACAACATTGGCGCCCAACTTTGGCTCTAATTACCCACTCCCTTCGCTCTACCGACTACCAACAACTCTGTAATGAATATTCCCGGTGCCTTTCACTTCCCCGCGTGAGTAACTTCGATAAGCTTGTGTATCATATTAGTCATAAGTGCTTCTGCCTACCGTTGTGTTCTTGTTCGTTTTCCTTTTGTGTTAATTGGTGTCCTTTTGTGGTGTTTCGGGTGCATCAGACTTATCAGCCTTACTGTCTAGTGTAGCATACTTAGTACG